TCCGGCGCGTCGGCGGGGGGGCTCGGGGGGCGGCGCTTTTTTTTGCTGCTTGGGGCAGCAAAAAAGCTAGAGCCGGCCCTGCTTCTATAGGAACTGGATCAGGAGCAGGCGTTTGAAGGCTGATGAATTTTGGTATATGTGGCTGATTTTGGAAGCAGTGGTCTCATATGCTGGTCAGAGGTAATGACTCAACATGGATTTAAGCATCGCTGAGAGGAAACGAGAAAAAAATGAGCCTTTAGTAGTATAGCATAGACAATTCAGAGACAGTATTAAAGGGAGCACTGTAGAGGGGAATTTTGTTATACATCTTTCCTCAACCTGAATGGGGAGTTGCATGGCTAGATTAGGAAGGAAGAATCCTATGCACCGCCACAGCCTGGAGACCGACTGGTTAAGCAGCAGTTCTGCAGAAAAGGACCTGGGGATTACAGTGGACGAGAAGCTGGATATGAGTCAGCAGTGTGCCCTCGTTGAAGGCCAAGAAGGCCAACGGCATATTGGGCTGTATTAGTAGGAGCATTGCCAGCAGATCGAGGGAAGTAATTATTCCCCTCTATTCGGCGCTGGTGAGGCCACACCTGGAGTATTGTGCCCAGTTTTGGTCCACCCACTACAGAAGGGATGTGGACAAATTGGAGAGAGTCCAGCAGAAGGCAACGGAAATGATTAGGGGGCTGGAGCACATGACTTAGGAGAGGCTGAGGGAACTGGGATTATTTAATCTGCAGAAGAGAAGAGTGAGGGGGAGATTTGATAGCCTTCAACTACCTGAAGGGGGGTTCCAAAGAGGATGGAGCTAGGCTGGTCTCAGTGGTGGCAGATGACAGAACAAGAAGCAATGGTCTCAAGTTGCAGTGGAGGAGATCTAGGTTGGATATTAGGAAACACTGTTTCACTAGGAGAGTGGTGAAGCACTGGAATGGGTTACCTAGGGAGGTGGTGGAATCTCCATCCTTAGAGGTTTTTATGGCCCGGCTTGACAAAGCCCTGGCTGGGATGATTTAGTTGGTGTTGATCCTGCTTTGAGCAGGGGATTGGACTAGATGACCTCCTGAGGTCTCTTCCAGCCTGAATATTCTATGATAATCATGCATGGCGTTGAAGTTTTGTGGGGAAATTTGGAAGGACCATTTGTGTGCACCAAATGTTATAGGGTACTTTTTCTAAAATAACAGGCAGGGCCAGAGTTGTTAATTAAATGCTATATAACATGAGTAACTTACAGTGTAATAGAGAGAGACTGTTTTCTAATAGCATGGTTCATTATGTAATCTCTTTCCCTTCTCTTTTTAGCATCAGAAGACTCTAAAGTGCAAGACAAGAAAGCTGCTTCTTCCAGCCTTCCCACTTCTGTTGCTTCAGGGCAAAGCCCCAACAGCTCTGCAGCTAAAGCAGGTACGCCATTATACACTTCTCATCACCACTGTTTGTTTGCCTAGACCACAGAAAAGCTGTTATTTTTGTAGAACCTTTAAAAATGTTTTGGGCTCTTATATTTCATCTGCTGCTACTTCAGTTGAAAATAATTATGAATGATTATTCCTGCTCAGCTGTGCTGATGATGCACAAAGAAGCAAAAAAGCCATGTACATTTTAGTTCTGAAAAATGGGGAAAAAAGTCATCTCTCTATCTGTACTTACACCAGAAAAAGCACATGAAATCAACAGGCTACCTTGGGGGTAGTTTCACACCCTTGCTTGCTACGATTTAAATAGTTGTGTAGACAAGCCCTTAGTTCCTAAATGGAAGGAGTCAGGTCTCAGTGCATGAGGCACAATCTTAAAGCTAGCAAGGCTGCCTCTGCACTAGTAAAATTAGTACCCATGTTTCAGAATGGTGCCGCTTCCCCCGGCTAAGACAGGTGTTGACAAGGGTCACATGCATTTTCATTCCATGGTTATAACAGTGCCAGAGTCTTAAGCAATCGCTCACACTGTTTGTGAGTGAGTAGAGTTTCTGCCCCATCCCAAACAAAACTCAGTTCCTAAAGCTTGGTTCTCCACTCAGTCCCAGGGGAGCTTGGGCAAAGTGGAGATGGAGTTACAGTTTCTGAGTTTCTAGGCTCCATGCACATTAGAGCTTAACAAGAGCACCTGTAACCTACGCCACTAGAATGAAGTCCCTCAGGGATCTTGCACCAGTGGCGGACTGGGCATAGCACCACTTCACTGCTCACCAAATGCTCCCGCCCTCTTCTTATACCAAGCCATAACTACATGAATGCTATACAAAAAGAGAGCGCTACCGTGTAATGTCCAGAATGAGTCTCACAATGTATTAGTATCAAACGTTACATTTTTTTTAATTTTCTTTTATCCATTAAGGCTGAATTCACTGATACATTTTGTGTGTTTTGCAGAACTCTGGAACAGCACAAAATAGCTGCAGTGTAGTGGCCAGTTACACCAGGTTTACAGTTGTTTTACATCAGTGAAACAGTGCAAACCAGTCAGTGTTTACTAGTGAATCTGGCCCTTAACTTGCAATTGGTTTACTGATTTAGCTGATACAGTTGTTTTTACCACTGTTATGAAAACATGCTCAAAGCATTTTCATGACATGGTAGTAAAAATGTCCAAGTTCTGTCCTGAACAAAGTTTACTCTGTGAGTGGGTGGAGGGGCGATGGTGGTGGTGTTTTTGTTATAATTATTTTTGTAAAAAATACGCCAGCACACTTACCAAGTAATCTTCCATGATGTGAAACTGGAACTTGACTGTCATAGCTGAAAGGAAACAACTTTTAAAAAAGAAATAGATCTATCTATAAAAGGCTTGAGGCAGATGAGAACAGAACAGTGCAAGGATTAGGGAGATAGAGAGAATGTAGATGAGAGGGAAGGCTCTCCCTTTGAATAGCACTGGTGGCCAACACACGGTCCTCCTTTCCCATGGGCCCTCACACACACCAGCTTCCCCCTATCCAATCCACTTCCTCATTCTCTCCCCCTGACCTCCCTCACTGTCCACCTCAGGTCTCCCACCACCACAAAGCAGTACCATGGCCGTCAAGAGGGGAAGGGAAGTGTGTGTGTGTGTGAGGAGTGCTTATGGGTGTTGAGTGGAGATGGGCACGAAGAAAGGAGCATTATCTGTGATGTCACAATGGCCCCAGTTAAGAGTGGCCTGAGCTACTGAAACTGGCCCATCGTCTATGAAGCAATCTTAATAATTAGATATAATAATCAGTAATTTAGCATAATTATAACCTAATTTCTTCAAATGTAACCTATGCAGAAAATTTCAATTAATATTAATTATATGGAAAGTTTGATGAGTCTATTATTCCATTGCTAAGATAGTTGGAGACAAAAAAGGTTGACACTGAGTGCTACATTTCTTAAGGGATCTAGTTTAATTATAACTCCTAAACTAATTTCATAGATTTTACTTGTAAATTCTCAGAAAATGTATTCATTCTGTACTCAAAAAGGAAGCAGTGTAACTTTTGTGGAGGGTTCACTGTATTTTCATAGGGGTTGCATCCCTGCTTTAAGTTCTAAATTAAACTTTTGCCATGGAGCCATGACCAGTGCCTCCCTGATAACCTCAGAGCACTCCTGTCAGACAGGTAAAATATTGAGCATTTGTATATTATGCCCTGAAATTCTGTTAAGTATAATTATCTCAATAGTATAATGAAATGGGGAGCTGAACATAATGAATACAAAGACATTGCAGCATGACCACTCAGCAACTTCCATACCAACAGCCGGCTCCTGCAACTTGCTTCAGCACCTTCTACAAGAAGCTGTGCACCCTCAACTCCCACTTAGGTGAATGAGAGCTGAGGGAACTCTGCAGCAGTGGCCCCTAGCACCACATCTTCCATCTCGCTGTGAGAGAACCCAGAGCAGGTGACCATGATAAATAAGATTAAGGCAGAGTTATGTTACTCTGAACATAGACTGGCATTTTCACACTCCTCTAAAGTGCCAGTCCCTCTGGGTCCTAGACATGAATGTATTGAACTGAGAGACCCTGTCTAAATGTGCAAAGAGACGAGAGACAAAAGAGGTAGCAGTGCCCTGTGGAACTTTTCTACCTAACCACATATTTTAAAATTATATACTCAGAGTGTCAGCTGATCAGTGGGATCCAGAGTGCTATTGTTGGAGTTTGGGCATGAGGCCAAACAATGAAGGGTTGATTTCCAGACCTAGTAGAGACATGTAATTAACCTAGTAGGATTTGCTTCATTACCCCTGTCTATTCCAACCACCAGCAGAGCAGAGGCAGGTGTGATATTTGGTTTGGCACTAATCTCTGAGCTCTCATACCCACCCTTCTGCCAAAATTTATTTCCTCTTACACACACCCAAAAAATACAATGGAGAACAACCCATGATAGAATACAGGCGCACTGCCTGCACAATTTGGGACATACTGCTGAATTCCATGAGGCTTTTCTAGCATATCTATCAGGATTGTTAAATGTGCAATGTAGCAAGAGTAATTGAGTTATTTAAATTGAATGGCAGAGAGCACTTTTTTTTTTTATTCAAGCCGCTGCTCATTATTAGCCAAGACTTTCACAATTCATCTTTCCTTATAATCTTTGTTCCTTTCAGAGGAATCCCTCTCCTTCTCTCCTACGTAAACATCTGACAGAAGGTAGAAAAGAACCAGGTAGGGAATAGTGTATTCTGAAAGAAGCAGCATGTACTCTAGATGATCCTGATCTCCCCGATCACTTACCATCAAGTTGACAGAATGCTGAAGTTGCTGAAAACAAACTCTTTCCTAGGGGATTTCATATTTATTGCACAATGATCCAAATGTCTACAGCCTACTCGAGTTGGAGAGATTTATAAACTGTCTTCTCTGGGCCAGTCACAAGAATTGAGGGGTTTGTTGGCATTCCAGAAAGGAATGCTGTGTTAACCTGTATCCTGCCCCTGTATGTTAAAAAGAATGGACAAGAGCCACCGTTTTTCTTAAATCAATCCAAATTCTGAATATCTACCATGCATGGGACCCAGAGTCAAAACTGGCATAAAACAGCATAGCCTTCGGGAATCTAGGCCAATGTACAATAATTAAGAATCTGGCATGGTGGGTTTAGGTAACAAATTACCTGTATCCTTGTTAATGACTTTTCACTTCACTTTAGTAATGTTAACCTAATTTTCAGCTTGTAGCCCAGTTAATATATTTATCTTTCGTTCTACCAACATTGAGTGTGATTTGCCACTGTTGTTCTAGTCTTCCATTAGTGTAATTTATTGAATCAGGACTGTAATCTCTAACCACTAATCAGATTGGTATTACATCATCAGATCATTGTTCACTGATAACATTTTTAAAATAATTAAACTTAAGGCAGGGAGCAACAATTTATTCATCCACGATGATAAGGTTCTGTCATTCTAGTGCACCAGCATCAAGTCAGATGATTATATCTAAATTATTTATTTACTGTAACTCAGCCATCATAAATCAGTTTTTAAACATCTCAACCTCGCTTCAACATTTATTTTCCACAAATATGTATGTTTTCCCTCAACTTTATTCAGTGAAAGTGTTGTTTTCTGTTGGAGCATGGCTTTGGACATTATAAAACCAGATTTTCAAAGTAAAGTGCAGTCATATGCAGACGTTAGCACACACTTACTTATGCACACATATCCCTGATATGATGGTGTATATCAAATATATGTGCACTCACGTTGCATAACTGCATGTATAAATTGAGTGCCACTTCCTTTACTTGAAAACTGATGCATTTGAGATTCTAGAAGCACAGTAGTATCTATATTAATAGTTACCTTGCTTACATTATTATTTAGATTCCAGTCGCATCCAGAATGTCCTAGTCTCTTTTCATGATGAAGACACAGTCCCAGCCCCATTCTTTGTTTTAATATGAAAACTATAAAAACTGGGGTCTAGTTCTTCCCAGTATCAAAATAACACTGACTGTTTATTATACCCCAAAATCTTTTCAATCATTCTGTTTTTCTGTTGTTTGTTTGTTTTTTTAGTAAACTTTTCAGTATTTGTGAGGAGTGTCAAATTAACAACCCTGAAGACTGAACTCATTTATCTAAAGAACAAGTAAAGAATAGGTAGTGGCAAAGCAAGTTTTGCCACATCTCCCCTGACAAAGTACCTTCATTGAGGGGTTCAGATGCTGTGGGAATGGGGCTCAGTGGGGTGGAGATCCAGGTGCACTGGTTGGGGCTCAGTGGGGTGGGGATCCGGGTGGCTTGTTGGAGTGGTCCAGGTGCAGGGGAAAGTGGGGTTCATCAGCGTGGTTCTGAGTGCAGGGGGTGAGGTTCGGCGGGAGGGTCTGGGTATGCACAGGGGTTGGGTGGATGGTGGAGCAGCTCCCTGTACAGGGATCCCTCCCCCTGCAGCTGAGGAGCAATGAGCCCAGAAAGTGGGGGGAGGAGGTTTGCAGAGCTTCTTGCAGTGGGGAAGGGGGGAACTAGGGGTGGGTCTGACCCAGCCCCGGATGCCATGCAGGGGAAGAGGAAGTCCCATCTTCCCCAGCTCAGCTGTGACTAGCAATGGAGCCCATTGCAGGGTAGGAGCCACCAGCTGGATCTTTCCCAGTCCCGCTCTATGCCCCACAGTAATTTACCTCTCTGCTGGCTGCCCTGGGCATCCAAAACATACTGCTGGGGAGGATTGCATGACTGCTCTTGTGGCTTCCCTTTGCTTCCCCATCAGAGAGTCATTTTTCTGTGGGGGACATAAATTCTGCGCATTACTTTGTCAAGATCTAACTTGGTTTTTCATGTACTGCACTTCAACAGTCCTAAAGGAAATGGCTTTTTCAAAGCTATTACCATTTCATGGTCGATGTACTGTACAGTGAGCGTACTCTGTGGTTCTGTATCAAGGTTTGGTTTCAGTGTCTTATTGGAAATTACAATGCAACATCAATGAGATATTGCACTATTGCCCTGCCAGCTTCAGAACACACACACAAAAATTAAAAATACATGATGTATGCTTGGTTTATTGATTCAGGAAAGCACTTAAGCTTGTGTTTATTTTGAAGCATGCTATGATATTACTTACATGGTTAAAGTTAAACTCTGCTGAATCTCCCATCATTTTTTAAAATTCCAGAAATGTCCCCATTACTAAACAGCATCTTACTGTATTTCTTCCTTGAGATAAACTGTTTTTTTTCCAAACTGTACCCACACAAAAAAAGAACCAAAGTTGACTCCAAAGTGATTTTTAAAGTCTCTAAGTTATAAAGATTTAAAAAAAAATCTAGCTTTGTTGTAGCAAGAACAGCCAACCTTGCTAGAGGGATCAGGGTTGCCACATTACCCTAGATTTTTCAGTGAGCATTTATGTTGGTTCTTTTCACCTTGGTATAATTAGAATGGGTTCACACTTATATTAAATAGATAGTCTTCGTTTAATATGAGGGATTTCTGGAGACACTGGATTTTATATGTTTGAGACTGCCATTATAGCTACCATTGTAGGTAGTGGTTGCTGTTCTAGTAAACTTGCATTTTCTAATATAAGATCTTAATCTCTCTTCCTGATTTTTTGTTTGTTTTTTGTTGTTGCAGACCATCCACCTGTACTAAAAGTTGATGACAGACAACGGCTTGCTAGGATACGGAGAGAGGAACTGGAAAAGCAGTTAGGTGAGACATAACGTTATTTAGCAGCTATAATTTTCAGGATTGTACTTTTTGGGTAGAAGTACCTAATAGTACAATATGCTATCCCTAGCAGCATAAGGAAAAATCATGTTTTAAATATGCAATATTGTTCTTTTAGACATCTCATTACATCTTAAGGGTAGGCCTGGTTTTCATGCATATTCTCTTATTTGCCATTACTGATCCTATTACATGTGTCTTAAAGCTCTTTATAGTATTGAACTAAATGGGCCAAATTCTGCTCTCATTTACATCAGTATAAGTGAAAATAGTTCCACCGATTTCTTCTGTGCACGTTCTCCAGACTTAGAGCAGAAATTTTTCTAATATGTTGAACACAATCCTGTGTTGTACATAAAACATGATAGCAAATTATGTCAATGTATAGATTGAATTTTAGATATCAGTGTGGTTTTTATTTGTGTTTTTTTTACTTGATCAGATTCTTTTTCTACTTATTGAGTGCATCTGTTCATGACATTAAAGTAATAATGCGTGCATGCACAGTACTCATAACCAGACTATCCAGATAAATATTTACGCCAAGGTTAATTGACAAGCAGCTATTTTTGATCTTGATGTAAGATAGCAAAACAAATTACAGGCTATAATCTTTGTATTTTTCTTACACAAGATTGCTAATAATAAATCACTTTTTTTTTTTAATAATTTCTTATTTCTGTGAGGGTAAAGTCACACCACTGAAGTCATCAAAATGGAGCTTAAGTGGTGCACAGGCCTTGTGCTAATCTGAATTTCACCCATTGCATATTGGCCCAAATTCAGCTCCCATTCAGAACACTAATCTTGATGGTGTTACTCCATATTTACACTAGTATAAATGAGAACTGAATTTGGCCCATTCATATATCATAAAGATAAAAAGATTAATAAAGATTTGTATGGCTAATAACAGTTGCATGTACTGACCCATTTTTTTCCAAGCAGCCTGTTGTCGGAGTTCTCAGTTGATAATTTTTTCTGTAAGTTTTGGCATTTCATGTTTTTCCTCTGCTAAATGAAACTGAGTGATAGCTGTGAAATCTAAAAGTTTAGAAAAAAATAAGAATAATTTTTTAGGTCCATGCAAAAGTCGCAAAATGTTTTGCCATTTCATTCCAGAGAATTTTGCATCCGACAAAAAGAATTTGCTTAGCTTTCTCATTTATACATAGAAAAAATAGTGAGAAGCCAATTCAGATGTGGTGGTCGTGAATTCTTGAATGGCAGCGTGTCATTCATTTTCTGGGGGTTTTGGTGTAATGTCTGAAAACTTAAGTCTCTGGTATGTTCATATCAGGGTATATAGATAAACTGTTACACACCACACACTCCGTTGTCTGAGGCATCAAATGCAGGTACAAGAGACAGAAGTCTGTCAGTTATTCATCCATTGCATTGCAATGCATCTATGCAGCAGATTAAATGCAGTCTGTGCTTTTTTGGAAATTGCACATATGTAGTCTGGTACCCTGCTGAACTCTGACATGCTCCCTCTCTTGTTTAAAAAAAAAAGCCTTTATCTTGAGCAGCACTGAGCACCCACAACTCCCATTACCTTCACAGACGCTTAGGAGTTGCAGATGCTCAGGATTGGGCCTAGCAAATGAAAGTCCAAATAAAATCAAGAGCCAGGATTTTTCTCAGCTTGGCATTAAACAAGAGGGGACTGCAGGGAGCTATGTTGGAATTTAGGCCAGGCAAGACACACACAATAAAACCCTTCATAGCAAACACCAATTTACAGCAGAGTCAAAAAAACGGGCAAAATTTAGCCAAGAAAGGATATACACAATTGCGCACACACCCAGCCTCTGCAGCAGTAGCTGGAATAGCAGCCACACAGTAAGGATATGTCTCCACTTGGAGCTGGGGGTGTGATTCCCAGTTCAAGGAGATATACCCACACTAGCTCTCACTGAGCTAGTGCTCTAAAAACAGAATGTAGTTGCGGCAGCACAAACGGGGAGGGACTAGCTACCCTGAACATCAGGGCCAGCTCTAACTCTTTTTGCCGCCCCAGGCAAAAAAAAAAAGCGCTGCCCCACCGTAACACCCAGCCCCCCCCCCCCCCCCGACCGCGCCGCGCCGCCAAAACCCCTGGCCTCCCCCCCGAGTGCCGAGCCGCCGAAACCCCTGCCCCCAGCGCCGTGCCGCACCGCCGAAACCCCCCTCCCCCGACGCGCCGGGCCGCCAAACTCCCCCCACCCCCAGCGCCGCGCTGCCCAAACCCCGAGGTCTGCGCCAGGCCGCACAACCCCAGCTCTGCACCATGCCAACCCCCACCCCGCCCCCCCAGTGTCGCACCGCCGAAGCCCCCACCCCCACTGTGCCGCGCTGCTGAAACAAAAACAAACGAACAAAAAAACCTCGAGCGCTGCCTCACCGAACCAAAAAAAACAAAAAACCCCGAGCACCCCCACTACCCCAAGATTGGCCGCCCCTTCCAAGGTGCTGCCCCAAGCACATGCTTGGTCGGCTGGTGACTGGAGCCGGCCCTTCTGAGCATGTACCCAGTGTCTCTGACAAGCACACAGTCCTGGCAGCTAGTCTCTCTCACTACTGCCGCTATCCCCTGCTTTTAACATGCTGGCTTAATCCGAGCTAGTGTGAGTATGTCTCCTTGAGCTGGGGATGGTGCTTCTGTGCCTGCTGAACATTGAAGGTGTTTTCCCTGATGCAGTGTTAGGACCAGGTGGATCACCTTAACCTGTTAGCTGCCTTCTGTTCACTAACTTTGGGTTTCTTCCTGTTTCTCCTCTTTGATGGAGAGACTTCCGAGAAGCATGCCCATTTATATCCAGGAGAACTTACACATCAAGAGTTTGGCAATAGTCTCATCCTCTCTGTGGTCAAATGTCACCCCAGCAACTGGCTAAGCAATGCATTCCTAATTACTTGGTCCTCGTTGTTGGTTACATTTGGTAAATTAAACCTAAATTACTCTGCAGCTGCTCTTGAAGGTCTGCAGGCAGAACTGTAAGGTTGGTAGATGGCTAGTGTGCAGGATGTGTCTATGGGGCCTGGCTCCCCGGCTCCAGCTGCTGACACTTAATAACTGTGTTTCTATTGGAGAAATATATTTTTCTTTTGTGAATATAGAATCACAACTGCTGCTGCTCTTGCTGGCCCTCTCTATGTTGTGAGCTATGCCTTCGGTGCCACAAACAGAGCATGAGAACTCTGATCTGCCTATGTGTGCTATTGAATATACCCTTTATAAAACGACATACTAAATCAGAATATACCATCTCTTATGTAGCTTTAAAAAAAAAAAAGTTGTGTGGAAATGTGGCCTTTAGCTGACTTTGAGCACTGCTCATTTGGATGCAAAGACCTTGATTTTCTGCTTAGTAAGAGGGATGGAAAACATAATTCTATAATCCTTTCACAATTTAATTAGAGTAACTCTCCTTTTAAACTAGTAAGCACAATTGCAACTGTTCATTTTGGCCGGTAAGCCTAACTTCAGTACTAGGCAGATTGGTTGAAACCATAGCAAAGAAAAAAATTATTAGATGTAGATAAACATGACCTGTTGGGGAAGAGTCAACTCAGATTTTGTAAAGGGAAATCATGCCTTACCAAATTCAATTAGAATTCGTTGAGGGAATCAACAGACATATAGTGTATTTGGATTTTCAGAAAGCCTTTTACTAGGTTCCTCGTCAAAGGCTGTTAAGCATACTAAGCAGTTATGGGATGAGAAAGAGAATCATTTTATGGATCAGTGACTGGTTAAAAGAGAGCAAACAGAGTAGGAATAGACAGACAGTTTTTACAATGGAGAGAGGTAAATAGCAGTCCCCCAATGATCTGTACTGAGACCAGTGCTGTTCAACATATTCATAAATGATCTAGAAAAAGGGGTGAACGGTGAAGTGACAAACTTTGCAGATGATACACAATTTGTTAAAATTAAGTCCAAAGCTGACTGTGAAGATTTACAAATGGATCTCGCTAAAGTGGGTAACTGGGCAACAAAATGGCAGATGAAATGCAACATTGATACGTGCAAAGTAATGCATATTGGGAAACATAATCCCAACTATACATGCAAAATGATGGGTTCTAAATTAGCTGTTACCACTCAAGAGAGAGATCTTCGAGTCATCGTGGATAGTTCTCTGAAAACATCCACTCAGTGTGCAGCAGCACTTAAGAGCTAACAGAATGTTAGGAACCGTTAGGAAAGAGATAATAAAACAGAAAATATCATTATGCCGCTATATAAATCCATTATACACCCATACCTGGAATACTGCAGGCAGTTCTGGTTGCCCCATCTCAAAAAAAAAAAAAAAAAAAAATTAGAATTGGAAAAGTTACAGAGAAGGGCAATGAACATGATTATGGGGATGGAACATCTTTCATCAGAGGAGAGATTAAAAAGAGTGGGATTGTTCAGTTTAGAAAAGAGACAACTAAGGGGGGATATGATAGAGGTCTATAAAATTATGACTGGTGTGGAGAAAGTAAATAAGGAAGTGTTGTTTACTCCTTCTCATAACACAAGAACTAAGAATCACCTGGTTAAATTAGGCTTTAAACAAACAAAAGGAAATACTTCTTCACACAACACATGTGGAACTTGTTG